TCAAGATTAACCTCTCCATTAAATTGATTTAATACAGAATTACCTATGGCTTGTAAAATATTCATCATAAAGATTTCTTCTTCTTCGTCTCTTAAGAATGAACTATTTTCATATAATAATTCATGTGCTATAATATTTTTATTTCCAATTTGAACCATTTGAAAAGCAAAAGCATTTCCTAAAGCAACAATATGTCTTTGGAATAATGGTTCAAGTGGATGACCCATTTTGAAATAACCATTTTTATCAACTAATATTGATATATAATCATTTAAACATTCATTAAATACATAAGTAGCTATTTCTTGTTGTTCCATTAATGTTCTGATTATACTTCCAGTGAATTGAACTAAATTCATCATATCAACTGTTGAATCTGTAGCGACTTGAAGTTGAACAATTTGAAATCTAAGTAATTTCAATAATGACGATATATATTCTGGTGATTGGATTGAAACAGTTGAAAATGGCATTTTTTGATATTGTTCAAAAGAATCAGAAACAATATCAGGAACAACTTGACATGTAATTAAAGCTAACAATACATAAACAACATCGATAGATTCAGTACAACGAGGTAATTGAAAATTAATGAATATAATTCCTTTTTCTTTATTAAATTGATTTACAAAAAGTTGTTTTGTTTGAGAACCCACAGCCATGAATGATGCACATAACTTCATAACAGCAATAACAATATTTATTGGTAATGACTGAAGTGATAACATATGAAACAAAATACTTGGTGTAAATATAGATAATAACGTTGTTTTATCTTTCAAATTAGTTGATAAGAAATTGATTAATTTAATTAAAGAAATACATCTTAATTCTGACTTTTGAATTAGAAGGGATGTTGATTGTTTGTCATCCATTACAGAAATAAAATGAATTAATAATCTAACTAATAACTTTAAATCATCACCAGTACAACTATGAAGTAAGAAATATTGTAATAAATTAATAATAATTTGAATAACTCCATCATCAATAGTATCGTCTTGGAACAAATCAATTAGTCTAGACAAGAAATGTAAAGAACGTAAAATATTAATATTGATTTGTGCATATTTATTATTATAAATTAATGAAACAAATGACTGAAGAATAAATAAAAATGTTGTTTGTGGATCTTCCATTCTATGAAACAATGAAAAATCTAATATTAATATATCAAAAGCATTTGGTGAAGAAATTACAGCAGAATCTTTCTTTGTAGGATCAACACCTGAAAATAATAATAATGTCATAATAGATTCTGTTGTAACTAAAGATGGTTTTCGATAAATAAAAAGATTTAATAAATCAAAACCATGACATTGTTTCATTTCTTCAAATAAATCTTCTGATTTTCTTAATGAATAAAGAAGTAATTTTAATGATAAATCAAATTTTATCTTTGTATCTGATTTTAATATTAATGCCAATAATAATGCAATTCCTCCTACTTTATAAATTCCATCTGTAATATCATGAGGAGATGCCAAATTTACTGTTCCAAATGCAATACATGAATTTAAAGCATAAGGAGTTAATATACGATCTGTATTAATAATAATAGATTGTTCTGGAATATTTAAATTAAATGTTGAATAAGTTAATGATTTTATATTAGTAAAACTTTGAATTACATTGATGTCATTTGAATCATAATTTGGTAAAACTTCATATCTTGAATAATCAATTGTTTGGAAACTTCCTTGATACATTTCTCCTAATAAATATAACTCTCTAATTTGTTGATCAGAAAATGGATATTCCAACATTTTCAATGGTCCTATTTTAAAAACTGCATTTGGTATTACCTTATTTTCTTTTGAATGTCCAATAACACAACGATATGGAGTTGGAGTATAATTTATTAATTTAGCTGTTGATTTTAATAATCCATTAATATATAATGTAATTTTCTTTCCTTTTCCTACTAAAACAATATGATTCCATTTTCTTGGTAATGGCATATTATCAAATATTACTTTTGAACCATATATAACTCTTAACCCACTTGGGTTCATAATTAATTGCAAAAAACTTTGTTCAGCTCCATTTATATTTTGATAAATTTGAAACAAAGATAATTCACTAACAACTGGTGGTAAATTTACCCATGTTGTAATACTCCATTGTTGTAATGGAAATTGTGTTGTATCTACTGGAATAGATAAACATGAATATCCATTTGGTGCAGTGTTAAAACTTAATGCTCCATTTCTATCTGCTTTAATTGTTGAGTTTAATAAACATTTTAATACACCTTCATCACAAGGTTGTTCTTTTAATGATTTCATTAACACTGAAACATCTTCTAATTCTACACCATATGCAATTAATTCATTTAATAATTCTAATAATGTGTTATGTAAATCTGATTCTTTTGTAATATCTTCTTTAAATTCTTTAATCAATGTTGTAGCAATATGTTCAAATGACATTTTTCTAACGTTAATATCTTCTTTTGATGTTAATATTAAAAACTTAAGAACAAGTTGTTGTTGCTTAACATTTAGAGCAAAACGTATTAATCTAATTAATGAATGAAGAACAAATGGATGATAAACTAATACTCCTCCAACAGGTTTTGTAAATATTCCAAGATTTTGAACTTTATCAATATCAGGTATTTCAAAGATAATTGCAATTAATAGACATGTCATCCTTTCTGAATATTTAGACTTATTTTCTTCATTTAAAAATGGAGAGTTTTGAATAAATTGAATTAATTCTCCATTTTTAAATGTTTCATCAAAATGTTTTCTATTATCTTTACTTCCTTTCATAGCATAAATCATAGCAACAAAACAATATTCAATAAATGAATAACGATCTTCAGTTATTCCATTTGTTGGAACACTTTCAAGTGACCAATTCCAATATTTATATAATCTTTTATAAAATTCAAATCCTCCTAATTGTCTAAATGATTCTTTTACTTGAGAACTTCTATATAACATTGCACAAACACATTTTAATAAAATAATTGGAGATGGATCTGTTTCTAGTGGCTCTATCATTTTCTTTAATAAATCAGTAGTTTGAATTGGATCATAATATTCAATAACGGCTGTAAATAACTTTGTTAAATCTCTTCTTAAATTTATATTTTGTTTAAACAATGATAATGCAGCTGTCATAGCAGTAGTTTCTTTAAATAATGTAAAATTACTAACAGAATGATTCATTAATCGAGTGATTAAAGTAATCATTCCTTGTAAAACAATACTTTGGTTTGTTTCATTTGAATGAGTAGCAAAATAAATAAAAACAGTAATTGCATTAATAGTCATTCCTGTTTGTTCAAATATTTTTTGATATTCTTTACTATCAATAAGTAATTGATTTGTTAAATAATCAAATGCATTAACTAATTCAGGATGTTTATTAATTTTATCAATTGTTAAATGAGTTGTAATAGTTTCAATTTCATTATATGGTACAAATTTTTGACAACGAGACAAATAAACACATAAAGAAAGCATAACATCTCTTACTGGTTGAGATACTTGATCAAATATTGAATATAATTTAGGTGTATAATTAATGGAATGTAAAACTAAATAATTCATTGGATTTTCACGATAGATTCTTTCAATTATTTTCATAGTATGTAATTTTCCTTCTTCACGATTTGTTTTTAATAAATAATTTTGTAAAAATAATGGAATATATTTATTTCTTACAAGGAAATAAGGATATCTATTTGCTAATATTCTTGTAGTATTATTATATTCATCATTTATTGGAATTGTTGGTGTAAAATCTCCAAAGAACATTAAAGGTGCTATTACATCTAAAACTCCATCAACTCCTGGAATTAATTCTTTATCTGATTCAATTAATAGAAGTAATAATGCCTCATAAAATCCATTGTTTGAAACACAATTTACAATAGCATCAGATAATAATGCAGTATTTTTAACAAAAGAAAGATATGATTCAACAAGTCTTAATGTATCATTATTTGGTTTTGCCTGTTCAAGAGCTTTTATAGATATTTGAACAGACTCTTCTCTTGCAACCACTTGAATTAATTCTGGATCCATATGAGCGTGAGTAATAGTTTGAAACACAGGAAGTAAATAAATTTGAATATCAGGTTTATCAAATCGTAAAACTAATAATCCAAATGGTAAAGGTTTTTTTGGTATAGGAGGTACAATAAGAATAATCATTGACATCAATAACGATAATAAATCTGAATATTCATTCTTTTCTATTTGGATTAAAAAAGAATATAAATCAGTAATTTTATTAACAAATTCATTACTATCAAATACTGTTAATATTTCTCCAGAACCAAATTGAGCTAAATCATGAAGACATTTAAATAATTCTTGTCCATCTGGTAATGATTGTATTTTTGTACCTATTAACCAATTTAATTTATCAGTAGTAATAGGATTTAATGCATTAATAAAAATATTAACCAATGTGTTAGAAAATGAAGAAACCATTGGTAAATCACGTATTTTTTCACTTGGAATTTTAAAAAATGTTTCAATACATTTTTCTAACTCAGAAATATGATGTGTTGATAGATAACTTGTAAAATATTTATTAAATGAGATATAAAATTCATTTTTGTGATTCTGAGGTGTTACTGTGTTATTAATTTTGGACTGTTTTTTAAATGACTTAAAGATACTCATATTAAACACAATAAATTATGAGTTCACTCAATAATACAATTTATTTATTCTTTTTCTTTTTTTTTTCCTTCACTTCAGTCTTTCTCTTCATTTTATCTTTTTAATTTTTCTTCTATTTTGAAATTTCTAACTTCATAAACTTTGCAAAAATTAAAAATTAAAAAAAAAATTAAATCTCAAAATAAGAACAGAATCACGTTCTGACTTAGTTTTTGTGTTGACTCAAATGAAATTATTATTACAATGAACTAAATCACCGTAAGAATTAGGGAACTTTACACAAAAACTAAAGTAATACATTTTAAGATCTATTAACCTGAAAAGAGAAGAAAAAAAAGAGATTTTAAAAATGACTACAATTTATTGACGTTCACCTCTAATTCTTCTAGCAAGTTGCATGTCTTTTGGCATAATAGTAACTCTTTTAGCATGAAGTGAACATAAATTAGTATCTTCAAAAAGACCAACAAGATAAGCTTCAGCAGCTTCTTGAAGAGCTGCAATAGCAGCAGATTGAAATCTCAAATCAGATTTAGATTGTTGAGCAATTTCTCTTACTAAATGTTGGAATGGTAATTTTCTTAATAAAAGTTCTGTTGAACGTTGATAAAATTTAATTTCTTGTAAAGCTTTAATTCCTGGATGAGAATGTCGTGCTACTGGTTTCTTTTGAGAAACACTAGCAACTGCTTTCTTAGAAGAGACAGCTGCTTTTTTTGAAGCAGACTTTGGGGCGTAGTATTTTCTCGGTTGTTTAGACGTAGCAGGTCGTTCAGTAGTATTATTTCCTTTAGTTCTAGCCATCTTGAAAGAAGTGAATGGAATAAATGATCTTGAGTTCTTGTTTAAATATCTTAAAGAAAGGATGAGAGTCCAAATGAAATAAAAATTTATTTAATTTAATTACTTTTATTAATCATTTTATCAACAGAGAAAACTCCATTTTAACTAAGTTGAAATTTCAGATCGTCATAATTTAAAATTTTAGTTAAGAAGCTCTTTATTACATTTTTTTAAATATTTTTTTCTCATTTTTATATCTCCAAAATAATTTAAATTATTTACTACTGTTCTTCATCTTCATTACCAACTGTTTTACTTAACTAATTTATGTATTTAATACTTTAGAAATAAAGAAATAAACAAACTTAAAACAAATGTTTTATAAATTTTTAGTTTACCCTTCTTTTTCTTTTTTCTATTATTTTTGTTTTTTCTTTTTTTTTTATTTTCTTTTTTTTTTTATGATTTACAAGATAAATTTAGTTGAAAAGTTCAAAAAATCAAAGAAAGTTCAAAATAAAAGAAGATAAAAGAAGGGCCAAAAGGACTGATAAGAAAGGATTTACACGACAAAAAGAATGAAAAGAATTTCGAGTTTTTTATTTTAAATCGGTGGTGTTGAGGTTTTATCCAAGAGTAAAAACCATTATGTTCCGATTTTAAAGAACAACAAAGGATTTAACTAACATAGAAATGTAATAAATGAAGAAAACTAGAGAATTTTGAATAAAGAAGTTAAAAAAAAAGGATAATGAGTTTAAAGAAAGTACAAGAATGAAAAAGGAGGTGTTATATTTTTGGTTTATATAAAATTTCGTTTTGATTTGACTTTTGTTTTCGTTTCACTAGAAATTCAGTCAGACATGAAAATGAGCCAAAGCCCATATCTTGAGCAAGTACCTTCTCCAGTTAATTTTGTATTAAGGTCTCCTAACTGTTCATTAGAGAAATTATTAGAATTACCGGATATTTTAACTGAGTTAAGAATTAATAAAAGACTTCAAAAATTGTTTGTTAATAATAAAATGATAAAAAACATAATAAAAAAAAGTACTAAATGAAATAGTATATCTGGAGAACATGTATTAGATCAATTGTTTGATTATATTCGTGGAACTGGGGATGAAAGGTTTCAATCCCCAGCTACACAAATAGTTTGTTCTGAAATTATGACAATTTCAGAAAATATTTTTTATTTCCCTCATTTAATTAATTCTCTCTTTAAAGAAATTTCACAATCTGAAGATGAAATAACAATAAGTTGTATTAGTCGTGTATTATCAGTATTAATGAATTTACCAACATCGAATGTATTTGAAATTATGTCACAAACTCCTAATGTTATTAATGTTCTTATGAATAAAATTAATAATTATGAAGTGTCTCAATTTATTCTTAGTATAATGAAATATTCATCCAAAGATGAATTAGGTAAAGCTACAGGTGCATATTGGTTGTGTCAAAATGGATTTGTTAGTGATTTATTAAAATTATTTATTGTATCAGAAAGTAATGGGGATAATGATAAAATTGAAAGCATTACATCTCTTATTGAAGAAATTACATTACTTAAAGAATCTTCCATTATTTTTAATAATTATTTAAATTCTAATGAAAATTTATCTTCTTTTTACTCAATAATTTTTAATACCGTTTGTTTAACACTTCTATTTCTTTTAATTATTTTAATATTTATTTATTATTAGAAGTCTTTATATGTTTTTGAAAAAGGTCTTTGTATTATTCAAAATATTTTAGCTTGTTGTGTTTATTCAGGAGATCTTTGTATAAGTCCTTATAATGAATTACCAATGGTGTATCAAGAAATATGTAAATATTTTGAACAAATTTCTTATCATTTTAAATATGAAAATGGACCAATTACACAAGTTAGAATTCAATTAGTACATTTATTACTGTCATTAACATTATCTAATTATTCATATATATATAATCTTATTATTAAATATAAATTAATGAATATATTACTTGATATATTTTTTAATTTTAATCATAACTGTACAATATTCAGACAAATAGCATTTGACATTATTAGTTTTATTATTAATCAATCAGTTGAACCTTTAAAGTCTACATTACTTGAAACTGGTTTATTAAAACGACTTGTTGAAGAAGACAAAAAATCTATTCAATTTAAAAATCAATTTAATTATTATCCAGACCACCATTCATTAACAATTATTTTAATGAATAATATTCATCTTGTTGCAGAAGATGATCCAAGTGATGAAACTCATAATGATTTATTTATGAACCAATTTGAAGAGTATTATAATAAACATATTTTACCTAGAGAAACTATTTTAACAAATCATTATCTTTGTGAAATATTACCAGGAGATTCTAAAGAAAATGAAGGATATATTTTTGATTTTTTTGACGATGAAATGTAAATTAGAATATTTCTAGGTATCAAATGAATAGTTATAATTTATTTTTTATTATTTCTCATTGAATTATTTAAATAACCTTAAAATTTATTTTTCTTATATAACAAAAATAAAGAATGAAATTGAATAAGTAAATTATCTCAAAATTTTTTAAAACTTTTTTTCCTTTAGAAAAGTAAAATTTATAAAAATACAAAAACTCTAAAATTCAATTATGGAGGATCATACACAACTTTATATTGATTGGGTAAATGAACAATTAGCAGAAAGTAAAGATGTTTTAATTATTAATTCATTGGATGACCTTACTGATGGAGTTATATTATTACGATTAGTTGAAAAATTAACACATCTTCATTCTAGAAATATTGAACCTCATCCAATAACAAAAGAACAAAAACTTATTAATATTAATGCAGCTTTAAGACTTGCTGAACGTAAGTTTGGTACATTACATGGAGTTGAAGTTAGTAATATTGCAGATGGAGATGAAAAAGTTACATTAGGTTTTATAGAAGTATTAAAAACATCATCAGAAGCTGACAGAAAACGATCACAAACAATAACAAGACAAACAATTGTTAAAAAAGAATTCATTCGTAGTCAAAATGTTAAAATGAATCATAACGTTAATTTTACTATCAAAAATATAGAAACAAGTAGAGATGTAACTAATGGTGTTAGAATTTCTGTTGCTAAAAGACCTCAAATGAAAACACCTACTGGAAATATTACTTCTACTCAAAGTAATAACTCAACTCCAATTCATGAAAGAAGAAATTTCCTTCAACATAACACTAAAATAACAAGTTTTCATGACTTATCAACTAATGCCCTACCTCCTGTTCCTATAAAATCATATCGTCGTAGAAAAGAAAAAATAAGAAAAATTAGAGAAGCAAGAGAATTTACTTCAACTGATATAGAAGAAGTTGAAATTGATGGAAAACCAGGGACTAATGTTGGAATTACTAAAGGAGATGTTAAAAGAATTAATGAAAAAGTATTTGAAGTTAAAGGGAAATATTTTATTGTTACAGGTGTTAAAGATACTGAAAATGTTATGGAAGAATTAAAACTTACACCAAAAGGATTAAAAGAATTTGTTACTACATGTGCACGTCAAATTCTTACTGAACAAAAGTATCTTGATGATATAGAAAAAGAAGATAAAAGGTTTGAACATTTAGAAGAATTACAAGGTAATATTTTTGCTGAAAAATTAGTAATCAAATTACAATGTTTAATTCGTGGTCATTTTGTTAGAAGAACACAAGAAGTACAAGGAATGAAAACAAGAAAATATACTATAAATGAAATAACAACAAGTGAAGAAACTTATGTAAATAATTTGATCATTTTAAAAGATTTTTATTTACAAAAGTTATTAGACTTTAATAAAGATGAATTATTAAAAAACACAATTAAAGACCTTGAAATGATAATTAAATATAATCAAACATTATTAAATTCATTATTACAATTTAGAAAAGATAAAAATATTTATGGAGATGGATTTGCTAAACAATTTCTTCAATTTACAATGTTTCTTAAATCATATACAACTTATGTAAATCATCAGTCTCAAATATCTGATGACATTTATCAAAAATCTATTAAAAATAAAAGTTATGGAAATAAACTTAAGGAACTTAGTCTTCAACCAGAAGTTAAAAATCAAACTGTTGCTAGTTATTTAATTCTTCCTGTTCAACGTATTCCTAGATATGAATTATTTATTAAACAATTAATAAAAAATATGCCAAATCATCATAAAGAACGACAAGAATTAACTCGTGCATTAAAAGTTGTTTCTGATATTAATAAACATTTAAATGAAACAAGAAGAAATAATGAAAATATTCAAAGAGTACAATTTTTAGCTTCAAAGATTACATTAAAAAAAATAGATCTTGCAGGAGATAAATACAGAAGATTTATTATGGGTGGTTTTGTTCGTCTTCAAGGACATCCTAACAAATTTAATTTACAAGATTTATTTCCAGAAAAACAACATTTAATGTTATTATTCTCTGATATTGTATTATTTATCCCTGCAACTAAACCATCTAAAATAATTGAAGATAATCCTGTTGACACTTTATTAAATTCAGGTAAATTTAAATGTAGAGATGTATTAGAATTATTTAGTACTTCATTAATTGATTTTAATACTAATAGATTTTTCTTAATTACTAAAGAATTAACATATTTAGTTGCTTGTGAGTCTATGGAAGATAAATCTAAATATATGAATGCAATTAATGATTGCTTAGTTTTAAAATATTCACCATTAGTTGCTAGAAGTGCTGAATTAATTAAACAAAATGGAATAACTTCTAATACATTAAATCCACAAGAAGTTATTGAAAAAAATAAACAATTATTAGCTAAACCTGATTTTGAAGGAGAGGCAATGTATAGAGATCTTCAAACAGGAATATGGGAACCATGTTATTTAATGTTAATTGGGTCAATTCTTTATATATATAAAAATACTGTAGATATATTTAATGGAATAATTCCTATAAAAATGATTGATGTAAGTAATTTTATTATTAAATCACCAATAGTTTCTGCACGTCCTTCTTCATTTGAAATTTCATTTAGATATGAAGTTAATACATTTAGTGTAAAAGATGATGAAAGTAAATCATTATGGTTAATTGCTTTAAGAAATGCATTTGCAAAATTTAATATAGCAACTGCAGTTTCTAAAGAACAAGCTCTTCCAATAATGCCATTTAAAGAACCATTACCATTTATTCCTGATGACATTAAAATGACTGAAGGATTTAGTTTTGTTCTTAATCTCTTAATAATACCAGGAAATAGAATTTGTGCTGATTGTTTATTTAGAGAAGTGTCTTATGTAGATT